ACCACACCCACATGAGAGAAGCTCAATCCATGAAGAAGAACAGGAGCCATAATCATTCTAGGAAAATCCTGGTGTGTGAAATACAGTTAAGACACAGTCCTAGTCACTAATGTCAAATAGTAGCCTGGAGGTCTACTGAGTTGGGCGAATTGTTTAGAAATTAGATGGGTATTACGGCTTTTTCCAAATGTTCGGTTTTCCTCCTATTGCAGACATGTGAGAGGGTTGCACACCATTGCTCTCTTTGAGGTTGGGTGTGGTCCAGTGATGAGCTCATGCCAATGAAAGGTGAGTGTGGTCATTTGTGAGTGCCACTTCTGGCAGACACTCTTGATGGCTGGGACTCAACCCCCTGCCCTCTGCTCTCCTGCTGGGTGGCTGTGGAAACACCTGCTGGTGTTTATGCTATGTGGTGGTGGCCACTGGGATGACAAGCCAGCACAAGGCAGATGGCGGTCTGTCCATATCTACAGAGGACTTCAGACTCTTGTGGAGCTATTAGAACCTTCAACTTTACTGTATGATATCCTCAACTGTGGCCAGGCAAGACAACTGGCATGGATAATAATTAAGAGTACAAAACCTTACTTACTTAGACTTCTTAGTTTAGTCTCTCATCCTTTTGTGTTTACAGTTGTTTCCTTTTTTTTTTTTTTTTTTTTTTTTTTTTTTTTGCCACTGGGCATGCTGTAGCCAATAGGCAAGAATGGGAACAGAGTAGAGTCATTCTTTGAATGAAGCAAAGGAATTCCATAAGTATGCAAATCAGAAGGTAGCATTTCTTAGAGTTCTATGGGGGATGTGAAAAAGGCCACCTTGGCTATGAGAGGCTTTACTAAATCACAGTATGGGCTTAGAAAGGTGTATAAAACTTTAAAAAGCTCCCCAAAGTATATTGAGGGAGTGTTTGTTATCCTGAAACAAGTTACCAATCAGACTCAGCAGAAGGAGGTAGATTTTTAGAGGCTTTCTTTCCCTGCTGTCCTCACCATTAGCCAGTCTGTTCTCTCTAGGATGGCACCATCTATTTACCCCCTTCCAGAGAATCACATGCCACTGGGCACCTTAGCTCCAGCCTGAAATACTTCTCATTCGAACTTCCATGTGAGTTTGAGGTCAGCTCTTCACAGAAGGCATCTGATTAACCTAGGTCACTTTTGCAAGTCAGGTAAGGGAAGCATCACGAGTCGTTTGACGCTCCCTACCTAGTTAGATGTCCACCTTTCCTGGTGCCTGTCCTCCTGGCAAGAGTGGCAGAACAAGAAACTGGTGATTGCCTGGCAGGTGAGGAGGCTGAACATTTTACCTAAGGTAAGGATGCTGGCATCACAGGTGTCCTAAAGCAAATTCAATGCGATTTTCACAGCTGGCGGTTTTCCACTGGACTGGATCTCAGATACTCACTTCAAGGGAGCAGGGAGCTCCGTGGGGCTGCTCTAACGATCCTCAATGCTGCTCACTTCCTCCCTGCAAACTGCTGATGTCTAGCCTACGTTATCACCATGGAAGAGCTCAGATGTTGCAAACAATAGAACTCTTTGTGCATTTGGGGAAAAGGAAATATGAGTAATACTGCGCCTTCCCTGGATCTGCGCAAGTAATTATTCTGACAATGAGAGACACACCTCATGCTAAGAAGTGAACTTCTGAATTCTCTTTCCTTCCCTGAGAGCCTGATCAAATTGTCGTGACAAAAGCAAAGTTTTCTAAGTTTAAAACATCGAAGGATGAAATCTAATTGTTTCCTATAAATTTGTCTAAGTGCTTCACTTCAACAATGAAGAAAATCAGGAAAAATAATTGGAGTGGCATTATAGCAGAATTTTCATTCATTCAGAAAAGATATTTTAAACACCTACTATGTGCTTGACATGCTGCAGGCTCTGGAAGCTTAGTTAGGATTACATTAAGTGTCTGCTCTCAACGTTCCCATGTCTCTAATGTTGAGAGGACAAGCATATGCATCTAGTCCATATGCATAACACTATGCACAACATAATGTCTTGTGTGAAATTTTGATTGCATTCTGACAATAAAGTTTGCTTTGAGTTTGAAAGCAGAGCTAACCAGTAGCTGACCAAAATTATCTATAGATGATTTGGAGGAGAGGACAGATAGGAGACAGGAAGTAGTAAGGCGGGGCAGAGAGGGGATCTCAGCTTTTTGGATTGAGGAACAGAAGAGAGAGGAGGTCACTGGTGGCTTCTCTGCTTCTCTGATCACTCAGGTTCTTACCCCACTATCTGATTCCTGAAGCTTTTATTGATAAAGAATAATTAGATAAACACTCCAACAATGTCAACCCATTTAAGGTAATTTATAAGATCTCAAAGTTTAATACATCTAAACTTAAGTTTCTGAGTACAAAATATGCTATTTTTAGCAGTTCGTTCTTCAGTAACCAGTAACTATTTTTTGTTTGCGCAGGCCCACAGATTTACGTTTTTGTTGTTTGTTTAAACTAATTGTTTAAGCTATTTTTAATCTTTGCAAAACCTGTATTCATTCCATAAGCAAGTCCTGTGTGATAACTTGGAAAGCATACTTGATGGAGTCTCATGTTTCTCTCTGCTCCCTTCCAACCTGTACAGTTCAGAGCACTCTCCTTCTGGGTTCTGAAGAATTTTCTCTACAGCCCTTACCATTTCCCCCCTTCCCCTTCTCATCATTACATTCACTTTCATGTCTTTGATTATACCGTATCACTTTCCTATTACAGTTCCCATTTTATCTAGGATACATGTTAGCCATCCCAACAATCTATAACGCTTCTTGGAGTCTGACCTTTTAAGTTCCCAATGGGTCTTTCTAACTCATTCTGCTCCAGCTCTCCTGATATTATGTGACAGCTAAAAAAAAAAAAAAAAAAATCCAAGAATCTTATTCCTTAGGGCCTTTTGATCTGTAGTTCCTTTTACCTGGAACTTTTGCCTGGGAGCTATCCCCATCATGGCGCGATACGTGTACTTAACATGTGTAATTGTTTCTAATTGTTCTTTTTCTGTCATATATTTCTGCTCACTTGAATACTTGAATATAGGTGTCATGAGAGCAGAGGTTTTGGATTTTCCATCCTCTAGTCCAACCGTCTGATAAATATAGTCAGTCAATAAACTCATTAAATATGTGCTGTCCACTTTTTATGAATATTAGCAAAATAAAACTTTGCTAGTGGGACTTTCAGATAAGGTGACAGAAGAAGCCGGCTTCATGTGAGCCTGTGGAGATGAAGCAATATAAGACCATTACAGTCTTTCCAAAGAAGGGAGGGGGAAGGAATTGTAAAATTTAAAAGTAATATGTCATAGTGTAAGGAAAAGGAGAAAACAGCTCCAGCCATGTGGCTATCCAGACAGGGGATGAGTAGCAGAAGCCTCATCCAAAGGCAGTTTGTTTTCTCCTTTCTGAGTGGTACTAGAGATTGATCCCTCAAGAACAGGCGACTCAGCAAGAAGATTCCTAAGGAAAACCTGAAGAGAGATCAAACCAACAAATGCTTACATTGTAATAGGAAACACAGTAATCCATGTCCCACTGCAGCAAGGGTGTGGGTTGATATCCGTGGCTCCTGATACCGCGGAAGGCCATACAAATACCCTGGGTCTGGACCATCACCCGAGGCCAGGTGGGGACCTGAAGGCTGCAAAGAAGCTGTGACCACACAGATCTGTCTGGCCTGCACTGCTACATGGTGTCATGGTGACATCTGATCCCAGGCTGCTTCTAGGAATCACCTCTGGGGAAGTGATCCTACCACAGTCGGGAGCTGTGAGGTTCATGGCCTGTCGTATCACAAAGGCCACACAGATGTCTGAGGTCTAGGCTGTGGTCATGTTGGTGTCTGAGGGTTGTACTGCCATCAGGGGCATGCTGATCTGGGTAGTGTACTCTGGGTCCAGACTGCTGCCATGGGCCATGTCTGGGTCCATGGTCCAGTAACAACCAGGTCTGTGTTGATGTCTATGGCTCCTCTTATTACCAGGGGCTGAGTGGATACCTGGGGTCTAGACAGTCACCTGAGGCCATGTTGGTGTCTTAGAGCCTTGCTGCCTGCAGGGTCATACTGATCTGGGTGACCTGTGCTGCCTCCCGGGCTATTGTAACATCTGGGCTGCAGTTCTGGCCTGTGATGAAGTCTATGACCAGCGTCACCACAGGGGTTAATAGGAACCATTTGTGTTGAAATCCCCTTGGCCCTGGGATAGTTGGCACTGCCTCACAATGGACAATGAAGCAGAAGAGCTGTGCCCCACTCTCGACAGATGGTCCCACCTCTCACCAAAGGCATGGAAAGTTGATCCCACGGCATGGGCCTAGGAGTGCTGGCTCTACCCCTCACCTGAGAGGCAGTCTCAGTGGACAGGACTGACTAGCTCAGCGACCATCTAGATCTACATCCCAGGCCTTGGGTTGGCCCAACCTAACATCTGCCCCATCTTTGACCTCCTAGAAGGTATGAAGGAACTGGGCCTGTGTAACAGTAACACAGGATCATCATGACTCTGGGCAACAGTAGGATATCAGACAGGAGTTTCAGTGAGGTCCAGGAATGATGGTGCACCAGAGGCCTTGAGCCAGTCCATTGACTCATTGCAATCAGCATTTTGTGGTAGGGCTATTTGGAGAAAAGGGTATACTTCATGACACACCACAGCTTCTGATGCCACTAGCATGGATGAAGAGGTGCTGGAAAGACAGAACAAAGTACATTTGGTTTTGTTTGTTTGTTTTTAATTAATTGGGGGGGGGTTACTGAAGGGGTAGGGGCAGATATGGAGGGACTGGTAAGTGAGCGGGATTGGGGTATATGATGTCAAATTCTTGAAGAATCAATACAGAATTATGAAAAAAAGGAAAAAGGAAAAGAAACGAAAAGGCAGTACCCACAAAGCAGCAAGGCAACATGATTATTTTAAAAAGATCACAATTCTCAACTCCTAAATTCAAAGATACTGAATGAGGTAAAATTTCAGATGTACATTTCAAGTTTACTAGTAAAAATGACCAATGACCACAAAAAAGAGAAAAAGAAGAGGCTGAAATACTGGCAGGTAACATGGAAGAAAAAAAAATAAAAACAACATCAGGAAATTGAACTTCTGAAAAAAAAGTGACTAGATTACTTATTTTTACTTATTTTCTTAAAAATTTACAATATATCCTGATCATGGTTTCTCCTTCCCAGCTCCTCACAGATCTTCACATCCCCATACATCTAGCTCTAGACTTCTCTCTCTCTCTTTAGAAACAAATGGACATGTATATATATATCAAATGAACAAAACAATTTAAAAGAAACAAAACCCATAAGAATACAAAATTGGAAACCACAATATACAAGCAAAAGACCAGTAAGATAAAGAAATACCCAAACAAAGCAATATGAGTCAAAAATAATAATATACAAAAGCAATACTGAGTATGGTTTGTGTTGACTTCTACTGCTGGTCATGGGGCCCATCCTCAAGTATGGCTTATATACCCCGTGAGATGCCATTGGTGAAAACTAAGTTTTCCTTTGTAGAGGGTCGTGAATGGAAAATAGCTTCTTGGTTAGGAATGGGCGTTCATGTCTACTTCTTTCTCTCTCAGATTGACTTGAACCTGTGCAGGCTTTGCACAGAGTTCATATCTGTGTCAGTCCCATTACATCCAGAAGCAACTGTTTTCCCGGTGGATTTAATTTTAAAATCCAATTACCTGTTGTTTCCAAGAAACAAACCTCACAGACAAAGATAGCCACGAACAGAGAGTCAAAAAATGGAAGTCAATCAAATGGAATGAAACAAGCAAAAAAAGCTGCACAACTATTTTGATATCTGATAAAGTACAGCTTAAGCCACAATTAATAGAAGATAAAGAAGTACATCAAATATAAATGAAGATAACAATGCACCAGGTCGTGGTGGATCACACCTTTAATCCCAGCACTTGGGAGGCAGGTGGATCTTTGAGTGTGAGGCCATCCTGGTCTTCAAAGCAAGTTCCAGGACAGCCAGGACTATATAGAGCAACACCATCACAAAAAATTACCCAGAAACAAATAAAGAGAACAATATATCTAAAACTAAAATTATAATGATTACTATAGATGTGCACCATATATTAAAACTTCCAGTTTCATAAAACAAACACTAATGAACATGAACATTCAATAGGTCCTGATACCTGATATAATAATAGAATACTAGTGGGTGACTTCATTACCCAAATCTCATCTTTACAGGTCATCCATACTAAAAAGCAAGAAAAAAATCAGTTTAATGCTTAGATTGCATGGACATAAGATTTAAATGCAGAATCTTCCAACCAGCAGATGCAACATACACATTCCTCTCAGCAGTTCAAGAGATCTTCTATTAAATAGACTACATTCTAGGCCATAAATCAAGTCTTAACAAATACAAAAGAGTCAAAAATAATTTCCTGATATTCTCAAATCACAGAGGAACACAATTGGAAATCAATAGCCGGAGAAACCACAGAAACTGAGTAAATACTTGGAGACTGACTAATGCATTTTTGAATGACCAGTGAACCATTGAAGAAATCAGGGGAGAAATTTAAAAGTTTCTAGAGTCAAATGAAAATGAGAGCAGAACTTACTAGACTCTTTAGGATAGAATTCAGGAAGTTCTAAAAGGCAAGTTTAGAACTTATATTTAAAATGAGAATAATCTTAAATAAATAACCTAATGATGCAGTTTTAGGTCCTAGAAAAAGAAAAGCAATCCAAGCCCCAAAGCAACAAGTAGCAGGAGATACTAAAGATTAGGGTTGAAATTAATGAAATGGAAAACTAAAACAATAAGATAGAGACTCACTCAGACAAAGAGTTGATTTTTCCCGAAGAATAAACAATATTGAAAACTTTTGACAAAACTAACCAAATGAGAGATCAAAGAGCTAAAATTAATAAGATAAACCAAACCTAGAATGTTACAATAGCTTCTAATTATTTTGGAAATATTTTGGTAATTTGTACTTCAACTAATTGGAAAATCTAGAAGCAATATATTTATTATCTACTATATATATTATCTACTAAAATTAGATCAAGATGCTATTAACAACTTAAACCCTTAATAAGCAATGATATTGAAAACAGGGATGGGAATGTAGCTTACTTGGTAGAATGTTTGCCTAGTATGCAGGAAGTTTAATTCCCAGCATTAAATAAAACTAAATATGTTGATGCCTGCTTGTAATCCCAGCAATCATGATAGAGACAGGAGGATCAGAAATTCAAGGTTATTCTCTGCTACATAGCAAGTTCCAGGCCAGCCTGGGATACTTGAGATACTGGAAATTTGGGTTTGTTTCTTTGCTTCATATAATTTCATTTTTGGTTGTTTATGGATCCTAACAATGAAAAGTCCTTGACCAGAAACATTCAGTGCCAAATTCTTCCAACTATTCAAGGAAGAAGAAATATCAATATTGGTATAACTATTCCATTAAATAGAATGGAAATGAATACTACCAAACTCATGCTATGAAACCAGCATTACCCTGATACTCAAACTGGACAATGGCACACAATAAAGAAAAACTATAATCCAATTTCCCCTTTGAGCAGAAACAGAAATTTTCAACAAAATGCTGAGTAACTGAGTAAGGGTATCTAAGTTGGTTTCATCCCAAAAGAACCAAGAAAATTTCCAAAATCTGAAAAATAGGTTATTCTCTAAAATAGGATACAGAATACTTAATTCCTTTCTTCATTTCTTTTTTCCTTTCCCTCTCCCTCTCTTATTTATTTATCTATCCACTACCTACCTATTTATTTATTTCCTCTGGAACTAACAAAGCATCTGTCTTAGGGTTTCTATTTCTGGGATAAAGCAACAAGACCAAAAGCAACTTTCAAAGGAAAGAATATATTTATTAATTCTTATACTTTCTGGTAATAGTTTAGCAGTGAGGGAAGTCAGGGCAGAAACTCAAGCGGGGCAGGAACCTGGAGGCAGGGATTGAAGGGAAAGCAAAGGGGGAGGGCTTCTTCCTGGGTGGCTGACTGCTTTCTCTACCATACCAGGACCACCTGCGGGTGGTGTCACTACTCACAGTGGACTGAGTCCTTCTATCTCAATCACTAGTCCAGAAAATGCCAAACAGAGATGACTATAAGCCAATCCTATGGAGACAATTTCTCAGTTAAGATTCCTTCTTTCAGATGGTACTAGCTTGTGTGAAACTGAAAAAAAAAAAAAACTGACCAGAACAGCACAAAATAAAAAATAATTTTTCATTGCCTATGATTTTCACCAGTGGGAGAAAACTGTGTGGATCATTTCAGTGCAGTGGATCCCAAACCCACAAATCTTCCTTCAAACATGTTATTCAATATTCATCCATGACACAAATGGCAAATTATTCTGTGTGGAAGCAGCACCTTGCACATCAATATCTGCAAAGATAACATGTGTGTAAGACCTACACACACATGAATAGACTAAAAGGAACTAAGTCCCATTGAGTCACATTGTGGAATATTTGTTTAACTATGTAAACATGTGTTAATGTAAAGATATGTTATATTTGTTTATGTTACAGAATATTTGTATTAATATATAAAGATGTGTTACATTTGTTTAATTATGTAAAGATGTGTTGCTGTTTTACATTGCCTGCCTAAGGTACCGGATAGGTCTAATAAAAAGCTGAATGACCAATAGTGAAGGAGGAGGTATAGGCGGGACTTCTGGGCAGAGAGAGTAACTAGGAGGAGGAATTTAGGTTTGGGGGAAGAAAGACTAAGAGATGCCAGGGGCCAGCCAGCTCGACACAGAGGAAGCAGGAAAGTAGGACATATGGAATGCAAGGTAAAAAGCCTTGAGGTAAAATGTAGATGAACAGAAACAGGTTAATTTAAGTTAAAAGAGCTCGTGGGACAAGCCCAAGCTAAGGCCAAGCATTCATAACTAATAATATGTCTCTGTGCCTTTATTTGGGAGCTGGTTGGCGGCTGACTAGGGAGCCAGTACTGGTGCGCAGTTGTTCAAGACACAACTAGCAAATGAATTGTTCAATTACAGGAATGAGGACTGGATGTTCACGTATTAAAAACAGAGGAGGATGTTTTTAGTCTTATGGTTGCTCTTATGTAACAGTGATGTCGCACTTTTGTATTTTAGTAGATATTTCACTTTGGAATAAAGTAACTATTGTATATTAACTTCCTAATGAATACATTTATAAATCCTAGCAGACTAACACAAAAATGATTACTTCTTTTACAGAAAAAGCCTCTCACCGCCTGTCTTAGGAGGTGAGCATTTCTTGATGTGGTAATGACAAGACTTGGCTCCATTCATCTGATATTCTGCCCATACCAGGGTCTTACATGGCTCTGTATGCAGCCGAAGAGAGGTTTACAGATGGAAGGATGTGGCTCAGCTACCCCATCACTCTGGTCAGCAAGTCACAGACCACTTTAGCTCATATGATCAATACCAAAAACTAATTATACAGACATACCATGGTCAGATTGGGAAATGGACTTCCCAACTGGAAAGGTGCTTCCTAAAGAGAATTAAACTAAGGAAGGAAAAGAAGCATGTATTTTTTTTTCTTAGTGGATGAAATGTCTATATTTATTTATTTATTTTAGACAGGGTTTCTCTGTGTAGAGCTGTCCTGTGGAACTCACTCTGTAGACCAGGCTGCCCTCCAGCTCAATGAGATCCACCTGCCTCTGCCTCTGCCTCTGGAGTGCTGGGATTAAAGGCGTGTGCCATCACCGCCAGGTTGAAATGCTGTTTCATCAATGTTTTTAATCTTACTTTTTCTTCATGAGCAAAGGACATTTCCAAAGTCAGTTCCTGACAATTGAAGTTATCACCTTGAAAATGAGAATTCCTAATGTAAGTTAATCTTTGTCAGTGGGAATATAGACATGGACTATTCGGGGAGTGTAACAGGATTTAGGAATAAAGAGAAACCAGGGTGGCAATAGCAGAGAGCTGTCTGTCTGAAGGGACATCTGACTAGCAGGTGCCTTGGCTGTCTGGTTGAGTATAGTTCCTGGTTGATGTGCACAGTACTTAAGAGTCCAACTTTACCTAAGATGTGTCTGCATTACAATGTTTACGGAACCATACGCAGGCGCTAAGCGTATCTGATAATAGGAAGATGTGCTGTAACTTGATCACGATTCATTCCCCCCCCTCCCCCATATCCCTTAGCGAGGTGCTGTTCTAGCTGAGGACTGAAAGGTCTGTCTGAAAGGCGTGCCTTTAGTTCCCATCTCTATCATAAAACTTTTCATTGTGGCGGTCACTTTCAGCCTCTCATCCAATTTCAAGGGCGCTTTTTCCTGTGCCCAGTTGCACAGCATCTGTGGGCAGCGTGTGGGTGAGCAAGTCTAGGCCTTGAAAGTGAGTATCCCCAGATAAGGTTCCCTAGTCTTTCCTGAAGCAGGCCCTCTTCACCCACGGGTCTTGGCAACCTCCCTCTCTGCCAGCCACCTGGCCAGGGACCAGCTTCCCAAATCTGCCTTGGCAGCTAGCTCTGCTCTTGCCTAGGAGCTGTTCGCAACAACCCCTAAAGGGGGAGATTATACAAACCTCTTAGAGGTCTTTTTACCGTCCCTGAAAATTCCACTGGACTACACGAATTTATGGAAGGACCACTGAGTTGCAGCAGAATCTGGCCACCCACGGGGAACAGCCTCCCTTTGCTGGTGGGATGTCCCCACCCACTCCATCTTTGAGTCGCAGGCCTCTACAGGGTTCTGTCTAGTGTCTGCTCCAGTTCTTTGAAGCCACACAGTTGTCTTACTTCAGCGCCACCAGTCTGCTATTAAAACTTATTTTTTTTTCGGGTTTGAGTTTAATCTAATCCCGGTCGCCAAAACAGTTCTCCCGACTCCATCCCCTAGCTTTTTAAAATGTTTATTAGGCCTTTATTGGGCCCACAGTTCAATTCAGGAAATAGGAAAACCCCCGATATTGAGGGAATTTGAAGACAGGAAGGATGAGAGTTAGAAATTTATTCAGCCTTCTTCACAATTTCCTTGCTGGTCCCTGGGGCTGAGGTAGGCCAGGGTTCTAGAACGTTGTATCCAGAGCCCTTCCTGAAGAGAACCTTCCTTAAACCGGAGCCCTTTAAAAGCAACTCACTGGGCAACCACCTTTTCATTATCCGTCCCTTTTCTTCTTATGAGGGACTGCTGAGATACCTGAGCAAGGCTCAAGGGCCCTGCGCACAATTTGAGCATCTAGTGACTAACTGGAAGGAGCAAGATTTTTGTGTCACCTATCCCCACTAGTGACTGCTTACACGTGTGAACAAGGAAAAAGCGACCTCTCCTGTGTTTTTCCGATTCCTTTTATCTCCTAGGAGACTCGAGGGCGTCCTGGGTCACTGAGTAGTGAGCCTGGGTAGTATAGGCTCCAGTCCGTCTGTCCCCTACCTTGGATAACCAGCCACGGATTTCCACAGCGCCCTAAACACACTTTCGCCGGAAAGCCCCTCTTCCCGTGAAGTTGTGCACGCTTCCTAACCACTCCACCAGCTCTAACCCGCGTCCACCTAGCCCAGGCAGAGCCGCCTCCCCAAGGTAAGCTGTTTACTGGTCGCCGTCCTGGCGATCCTCCCTGGACAGCTGCGGCAGCCACAGCAGCTGCGCCGCAGCCCGGAGCTCCCGGCGCTCCTCCTTCCTCCCTCCCGGTCTCCGATCTCACTTCTGCGGGCCACTCACACACTCGCTGCCGCCGCCACACACCCGGGAGTGTGTGTGCAGGACCCAGGGGGCGGGCAGGCGTGGCGGCACGCCGCAGGCCAGCTCCTCCCGGATCGTGCTCCCCGGTCCAGCCTCCCTCCACTCTGCCCACCTCAGGGACACCTGAGCAGCCACTGGGCGGTGGAGGCTGCAGGCCCGGGGGACCGAGTGGCACCCCGGAGAAAACAGAGCAGGAGGCGGGGCGGCAGCGCAGACCACCGCCTTAGCGGTGAGGGACGCACTCCACAGCCTATGAGATTGTGAAACAACGGCGTGGGGGCGGGCCCGGGGAGGCGGGTCCCGAGGAGGAGGTGGCCCCGGCGCTGGAGGCGGGGGCGGCGAGGAGGAAGGGGAGGAGGCGGAGGCGGGCGCGGTGGTGGCGGCGGCCGGCACGACGGCTGAGGCGAGGTTGTGCCCCTGACTGTGTCCACCGAGCTCAGCGGCTGTTGCCTACGCGTGGAGGAGCAGCGGCGCCGAGAGGCAGAGGAGGATCGCGGGCGAGCGCGGCGGCAGGACGTCCACGGTGGCCGCGGCCCCGGCGGCGGCCGGCGACAATCGGCGTGGGGAAGCAGCGGCGGCCGCAGCGGCAGCCGCCTCTCCGCCACCGGGACGCCGAGGCGCGGCTGGCGGCGCTGACATCCACGGCCCTGCCTCTCCTTCCTCGCCCCCGGCCCTCCCCATGTGATCGGTCTTAATCCCGACCGTGTGCGCGCGTGGGGGCTCCATTGCGCGGCGCCCGGTGTCGGTGCCGGGGTGGGTGCTCGCGTGCGCTTCTCCTCCCCATCCCCCGCCCCGTCCCCAAGAATAAAAGAAGAACCGGGAGGCGTGCTCAGAAAATAAATAAATAACCAGCACACACGCGCAGCCCGGAGCGAGGCGGCGGGGCTGGCGGCGGCGGAGGAGGAGTGAAGGCGGCGGCGGCGGAGGAGGGACGCTCGGAGCCGGCAGTAACTTTCGAGCCAGCCCAGAGCCCGGAGCTCCAGCCGAGCGGTTTGCAGCGCGGCGGCGGCGGCGCTGAGTGTCTGGCCCGCCGGTGCGGTCGGGGTGTGCAGTCGGACGGGACGAGCAGCGTGTCGCTGTCCCCCCCCTCCCGGCCGCTGGAGATGTCCGAGCCCAAGGCGATTGATCCCAAGTTGTCGACGACCGACAGGGTGGTGAAAGGTAAGCGCAGCGCCGCGGCGGCCCGGGGTGCACCGAGTGCCGCAGGCGCCCGGCCGCCCCTCCCCCGCCCCGGTTGTCCCTCTCCGGCTCGCGCCGGGGACCTTCTAGGATCTCCTGCAAGCGGCGATCTCCCCCTCCTCCGCCGCGCCCTGCCCCCACACCGCCCACCCGGCCCCAATAGGGGCATTTTTTTTTCTTTTTCTTTTGCTTTTGCTTTTTTTTTTTTTTTTTTTTTTGTGGACGGGGGGCGGCAGTTGGCAAATGGCTGAGCGCCTGGGAGGCGGTGGCGGGGGTGGCGGTGGCGGGAGGGGGCGCCCGGAGGGGGGGTGACTGCTGGCAGGGTGTAGCTGCTGTGACAGAAATAGGAAGTGGGTGGCTGCTCGCGGGCTTGCATGGGATCGGGTTTATGGTTTGCTCTTTGTAGAGGGAGGGGAGGTGATTTATGGCTTTTAAAAAATTAATAGGGCATTTTTATGTGGCCGTGGCTTGCCGCGGACTGGCTCGCCCGGGCACGGTGCTCCAGGCGCTCCATTGCAGCAGTTCCCCGGGCGCCCCCTCCCCCTCCGCGGGAAGGGCCTGCACAGGACTCGCGAGAGAGCGGGAGAGCGTGGGGGGAGCCCAGCTCCGGCTGCCGCGCGCCGCGGGGGCGGGGGGCCGCGGGGCGGCGTGGGGGCAGCTCCAGGCGGCGGACGACCCGAGCCCCCGCCGCCGCCCCGGGATTTCCCTGCAGGCCCGGAGCGACGCGAGCGGTGGCGGTCCTCCGTCGACCTCCCTTGTCACCCACGGCTGGCTGCCGCCGACCTGTCATTGCTTTTAAAGGGTTCCCTGTTGGTGCACGCCTCTAGGGTGGGAAGCTCACCCCGTTCCCTTCCCCCAAGCTCCTGACACCCCCTTGGTAACGGGCTATTTGATTCTTTTATTGCCAAGGATGACATGTATGTGTACAACTGGCAGAGATGGCTCTGGGTTGCTGGCTAGGAGAAGCCCCGGGGATGCTTGGGGTGAAGAAGGGGACAAAGTGGTTGTCCTTTCTACACTCCTGCGGAGGAGGGATCCCACTCTCCTCACTGTATTTCAATGTGGAATGGGGGAGGGACAGCAGATCCTCAAAGATTAAATAGTGTCACTTATTCTTGGGATTAAGGTCCTGAGCAAAACCAGGATGAGCACCAGCCTGTGCAGAGTGTGCCTCTGAAACTGGGGGTGGTGTGTGTGTCTGTGTGTGTGTTATGAACAGAGATAGTGTCTTATGCAGCCAGAGTTTTCAGTTAGAGTGCAAAGCAATCAAGGCATTTGCTCCAGGAACACTTAGGTGAAAGTAACCCGGCACCCACCGTCCATGATACATAGTCTCTGGAGTCTTAGACAGGATCCTTACTCCTTTTACATTTGCTTGGTTTTTAAAGTTTGTGTGTGTGTGTGTGTGTGTGTGTGTGTGTGTGTGTGTGTTATGTTCTCTTTTATGAGAGACTAAAACATCTCTTCTTCTTTTGGTTATATTAGGTAGGATTCATAGTCAAAATAAAGAGGAGATAGTCCTGAAATAAAAAAAAAAAGATTGGTAATAGAGCTACAGAGGCACAACTATCTTTTCTGCAGGCATGGATCCTTATGTAAACACTCCATGCAAATCCATTCCAAAGAACTGTTGTGTCGGAGGTGTCTGTTGGCTTAAAAATTCAGACCTTTTGTGTACAATACCAGAGAATGACCAAAACTCTGCAACGTATGAAATGGAGGTTTAACTCCAATCAAAATATAACTTGTTTTCTAACCAGCTGGGATGCTAGTGAGTGTTGGTAGTGAAAACCAGTACTGTGTATACGGTCATGGTGCATTCCCTGTTCTAAATCTCAAACTGTGGATTTTTAAGGTGTGAATTTAGATGGACATTGTCATAAAGTAAACTCTGTGAAACTAATTGCTCACCCATTCTCGATGTGTTTACTAGTGAGCATGGCAGAGCCGGGGTCCAGCCGTTTCCTAGCTCTCTTGCCTTATGTTTCAGTGTTGTGTCCTTACTAATGACTTCTCCCATTAGTACATTGGCACACCCATAACTCCACAAAATTTTGATTTATGTATCTTTGCAGAAGTGAATTATAAATGTGGACTATAGATTCAAAGTAGGAAACATTATTCTCCCACCTGCTTTTGACGGGGGTCCTACTGGAAGACTTTGTTTATAGAAAAACAAATTATTGGTGACTCCCGAGTTTGAGGTGGGCACCCTGCCATGGCTTTGGTTCTCTTATGCTTTCTTGCGCGTTTTAACATTTTATGTCATCGGCTCAAAAGTCCTGACACAAGGGTCTGGTCAACAGTTTGTCATTTGTAGGATTTTTCAGGATTAGTATTTTGAGATGATAATCTGTTTTGATCCCCCTTGAATATTATATACATCTTTAACAAGTAGAAAGCAACACATATGCTGACTGGGAAAAATCACAGACTTATTTTTTATGTTAAAATATTCATAATATGTGGCAGGTAAAAACATGGCTTTTACTCCAGATTTTTCTGAGAACCTCATGGCATCTGTCATTCTTGAAATCATTCCTTAACACAGGAAATGGTTTATCTTTGAGGCGATCTCTGTGCTCTTGAGGCCTTGTTTCCTCTTATAAAAGGCATCTGTAGCTGTGTGTGATGCAGGAGTAGTCAGATCGGTCCTCTGGCATGCCGTGGCTTTTTCACAGTTATCTTTATTGCTGTGATCTGGATGACAAATTGCTGTTTACGGACGGCCTCTGCTTGTGGTTTTGTTCATAGTAATATGACAACAGCTTTCTGTGGCTCTCTGGATGTGTGCTTCCTGAAGGCAACTTTCGAGAGGTAGGTTGAGTGTGAGCGTCAACTGTGGTAGTGTCGAGGCTTGTTCAGTCGGCTACTGCATGTGCAGAGCCTTTAAAGTCGAGAGTGAACGAGGCATGGTGGCCGGAGAGATGAGCAGCATTCGCTTAGATGACTTCCAGAAACAATGGCCTCAACTAGCAAATCTGCTGCGGGTTTATTCGACCCATTCTTAAATTTAAAAACAAATATAAAGTTGTTACAATTCAGAGAGAACATTTTGGCATGCTGTTTGTTGGGAGCCAGTGTCATCTGATCCATTCACTTATTTATATTTTTGGAGCATACCCACTGTTTGTTTTGAGAAAGGCTGTATATAGGTTGAAGGTCCACAGGAAACTCCAGAGACTCTTGGCCTTAGTCTTAAGAGTGAGGTTCTAGAAGCTTTTCATCGTGCCTGGCTCACATTAGGTCTTAAAAGTACACAAAGAATACCATAGTCAGTAGAAGACTGAAGTAAATGGTGTAACTAGCCCCCCCCCCCCCCCCCCAGCACACCCTAGGCCCTGGGTTCCTCTGCAGTATGCTCAAAAACTCTATCACAGCTTCGGTCTCCAGTCCCTGTTCCCGTCTGGCTGTCAAGTTTTGCTCTGTGACAGTTAGAAATGTGGGGAGCAGGGTAAGACTGTGATGTCGAGTTTGCGGCAGCATTCTGGCTCTGGACAGTTCTGTCATCTCCAAGTATTTTCTAATGCGCCTTTTACCTTATCCCATACTGATGAGAATAGGAGACATTTCCGAGTCTGGCAGGCTGTCAAAGGGGAGATTCCTGGGAAGACTCCCGTAGGTTGCGCTCCGTTGTCCTCTGCCGATGTTTGCTTTTTACTCGTAGGAGATAGCTGCTGCTCTGCCTTCTCTCACCTTTGAACCCCTTGTCAGGTGCAAGGAGAGACATTCTGGGAAGATGTCTCAGATCATACAAGCAAGAATGTGGAGGAGTCAGGTAGACTGTTACTCAGTAATTGACAATGCAGGCCCTCAGTATTTGTAGCCGAGAAATGCCGGTGTGACTATTTAAAAAGAAAGCAAGAATATGGCATGTCACTAATGGCCATTGTACCTGTACATGGAAACAGAGTAGCAAATCACCCGGGGGGGGGGGGGGGGGGAAGCTATCAAGAAAAGCTCTTTTCAATTTATTTTACTTATATTTTAATTAATTAATTAATCTGCCATCAGTCTATTTGTTTCATTTGTCTGGCCTTCCTTTGGAGCAATTAAATTAAATTAAATTAAATTAAATTCATTGTCATTAACCACCGGTATATGGTGGGTAGGGTTTACATCAGCACTGGCTCTTAAGAAAGGCATTTGCTAGTATAGCTAATACCACAGGTGACACAGTTCTGACATGGATGATGTACTGGAATGAACGGCATACAAAGTCATGCTGCTAATTCTAAATTAGGTTGATACATTCAGTAATATTTGCTTTCAGAATTTCTTGAAAGTAAACACAACGTGAATTCAATGTGATCCAAACAGTTTGTAGGAGACTGAGACTTAGGGAAATCCCAGTGGTTGTAAATGTTACCACCTTTTGAGAAGAACTAAAGACGATGTTGTTTGTTGCTATTGTTGTTTAAAAGTACAGAAACGAACCTTTGCTTAATAGATACTGTAATTTAAAGAGAGCCAGGAAAAGGCAACAGCCTAGCTGCCTTAGAATCTAGTTAATGAGATTTTGCTGACACTGATGTAAGGTAAAAATAACGCCATTTTCAATCAATTTCTTCTTTATGAGCTGTTTAAAATGGTAATTATAGCGATGGGAAAGTATGACTTTGATGCTCTGCAGTCAGCTTGGACAATTGTCATCTTCGGTTTTCTCTTATCTTTCTGTGCCACCGTGTAAAGTTGAAACTAATTATAAAGCCAAAGAGAGTCCCTTTGGAGTGTCATTGTTGGAGGACAGCATTGTTCCCGTTCCTGCCTTTAGTGAATTCTTAGTGAGACTGTGCTGCTGGAAAGTCAGGAATTGTGAAGAAGGTAGGCAAAGAATGACTCAGCGGCGCATTTTATGATCATTAAAAAATAATTGTGTCCGATTTTCAACAATTTACTGGTACAGCAATCGCTTGATATTTAAGAGGGATAGGATGAGATCTTGAATTCTTCTGTAATTGTAGGTTATGTGTTCTAACTTC